ATATTATCATTGCGCCTGGCAATAATGTTACTAGAAATACATTATTACCTATAGTAAATAGATGTAATTTGAAAAAGAAATCAATATACTATAATCAATATAATACAATATTATTATTTTATWTTTATTTATGTTTTAAATTAACTTTACACATGTGTAGGTATCTTCAAAATTTTTGTCAATCATACGCGACCTTTTTTTAGGACAAATATCCCCTGAAACACCTGAAACCAAATAATCGCTCTACAGAAGCACTTGATGGTAAAGCTGTGTTGTATTTAATAAAAATATTCTTWACTAATGTCATTGAATTCAAAATTGTGAGATCAGCTGTATAAGGTGCTTTAATAAATATACATAGTATACATACTAGATTGGTAAACATAATAATACCTGCATTATAGACATATTTTATTTTCAATTCGCAAAAGGTAGGTACTTAATAATTCAAAACTGTAACGCGTTATTCAATAGAAATTACTTATCAAAAGTAATATCCATTACATTTTCGTTACTTGGAAATAATTCTAATCAAATTACGTAAYGGGTTATAAGCAAAGTAACACCGTTACAGTAACGTGTTACTTTCGTTACGTTACTACCCAACACTGATAACTTCATAAGTTAACAGTGTAGGCGTAGTTATTACTTGCTAACTCAACTTGTATGTTATAATTTTAGATTTTAACTTGTGTTGTATAAATATTATGAAAAATTAAAATATATGAGTAATATTATGTTTTGAATTACAATTAATTAATACCTACAATTAAAACGTTCATAAAACATTATATTGTTTATCGTATTTGATAATAGCATTAATGAACAAATGGAGATTTGAAATAATATGTGCGAATATTCAAATATTATATAATCTAAAATCTAAATAATTTAATATTTCTAACTAAAAACTAGACAATAGTGTTAATCGGTGTCCAGTTATTAGTTAGGCACATATATCGGTGTTACAAATTAATTTGTGTTCATAAACGTTTCAAGGGAGTAAAAATAGGCAACTACCTTAACAATCTAGAGGAGCAATGACAAGGCATAATTTGCCACTTTTTAATATTTTTATATGCCAAAGTCCGATATTAAAAAGTGAAATTATGAGAAAATGATCCTATTTTTTTTTCATTTTAAACAATTTTGTTAAGTCATTTATTTTAGACAATTTTTAGGTACTTAGATTTACAAACTATATGTATAATATGTCAAAACTCTTAAATGACGAATCAGTAATATTATTATTATTTATATTTCTATTAAGTGTAACAAATTATATAATAGTATTCTACGATGGGTAWGGTGATTATTTATTATTAGTGTCTTAAATGTAAGCCTGTATCTGATGGAATTGAAGTATTGAATATTATGACATTCACATTTGTTATAAAATGAATTAAGTATATGATTATCACTGTCTTCAATACAATTAGTTGTATCAATACAAGCATAAGTTTTTCCATTTTTTTATAAATTTAATACTATGAATATTTTTTCTTAGTATCCATATGAACCATAATATATTATAATTGGTTAAAATACATTGTATTATAATTTAACATTTAAATGATAACAAATGATTTACACAACTAATACCTCATATATAATATAAATAATATAAAAACTACAGTTTATAAATTAATAAACCAATTAAACCAATTAAAAATTACACTAAATTAAATAACCTACAAAATTATACTTAACATTAAAAAATCTATTGCTAGGGCGACTAGAAAACTTACAAATGTACTCTCCTAGTCTCCTATACATTATATTGCAAAAAATATCAGTCTATGTAGTTAAATTTTTATATTAGGATTACAGTTAAACAATTTTTTTTAAATATTTATTGTTATAATATAAAATCTGTAATAGCATTTTAATAAGCATATGTGCTTTGTGTGTAATATATTAAAAATAATTTTTAAGTTTCTAATCTTTATTTGAATGCTTCCTTATTTAAATTCGAAAAAGGATGGTATGGCAATATTAGACCATTATTTTTAAAGATTTGTAAAATGTATTCAATAAGATTATATTTATAAATATAAGACACATTATTACTTAAATGAAAAATATTATAATGTAGATTAATCATCTAAGATAATTGTTCGTACACAGTCCAAGTCAACGCAGCCATTAAAGATCGTCTTAAAACCCTAAGAGACAGTCCTTTAAAATAGCCAAGTATTCCATATTTCTGAAAACAAGTAAATAGTTTTTGAACTGCTTGTAATTAATTCCAAACAAGTACATTCTTACTTGTTTAATTAAAATAATGGCATCAATTAAAAGAAGTTTTTCTTTTGATAGTTGCTGACTAGTTTTTATTACATCAAATGGTTGAGTTAAACAGGATGCTAATCCTCCGGCTAGAAGTCCACATCCAAAAACATAAGTTGGTTGCTTGTTGTCTAGTTCTAATTGAACAAAATAATATCATTATTTAAAATATAAATTAATTTTTGATTTGAATTATTTTTTCATGGTGTAAAAAAAAAGAAACAGCACAGTAAAATGGTATAACTAACATTTTTTTACTTTTGTGTGTGATGRRGGCGGGGCGGGGTGGGATACATTTTTTTCTGATTATGATTGAAAATGTAATTCAGGGTATTCAAGATAAATCATAAGTTTTTCTTATAATAATCTAAAATTATCAGAGATTATACTGGACCAATTTTTTTTTGTCTATGAGTGTTTGAAATTTAAACTTTGAAAATCTATAAAAATTATAAAAAAATTGTAAATTAGGCACCGGTCCAATGTGCGACCTACAAARCATTTTCAAATACATGAAATGGGAAAATCCTGATACTATACAAGATCTTAATACAAAGACATTTAAAAAACTTTTTACTACATTTAATATTGTAATACTTGCCYTCTAATAATCTAATATTTTTTAGTTTGATAAAAAACATAAAATATAATGCAGAAAATGGAGCATCTCGTAAAATTGTTGGAGTCCATCCGCGACAYAATACCTTCCAACCTTCCAACCTATACATCTCAGATAGGCCACGGATTAAAGTCGTATAACTAAATTGACCACTCTGAAAATAAATGCCTAGGTTTTAGTTTTAGAATAATCAACTTCAGTTAGAAGTATATTCGATARATATAATTAAAATTCATATACGTACGCAAGTTACTTACTTACTTCTATTCTAGTTTTTAAAACAGTGACAGGCATTAATACAGAAACAGTAATACATCGTGCACTAAATCCAGCAATCCCGGACTTCACCATAGAAGTCTGATTGTTTTTTGTAAGATATGAATATATTAACTGAGTAAGTGATATATGAAT